TTGTAAGAAATTGTTCCTATGTTAATCTTGTCCACAGGCATGGAGGGGAGGGAAGGCTTGGAAACAGGAAGATCACTGAGCTCCACTAGGTTTCCTTTATCCGGAGAAAAAGAACACTTCTGAATTATGTAATGCTTAGACCTGAGGCAAAGCAAACATCCAGGTGACAGTGGCATGCACAATTAAATGTACACTTCCATCATAGAAACACTTGCTTCCTTCACAAAAGCCCCAGAATAACCATGTGAAGCACCAGAGCTTCTCCTCCCAGCTGGAGAGAGGAGCCAGCAGAGAGAAAATGGTTACCCAGGCACTGAAAGCCACACTCACACCCTGTGGCAGTGATTTAGTGAAGAGCTGAGTGTCTGACCAGATATAAACAAAACACTTAAATCCCCAAAAGTTGTAGATGCCTTAAACATTTTCTTTGGAAGATCATCATCTGTACAGTTTCTCTTTTGTGTGGCGTAAATAATATATTAACCTGTTACAACTGACAACATTGGTTCTCTGTAACTAAGGAGTCTTGAGACTGCTTGACCTAATGACTTGCCTTTTTGGCAGATGTGTGGAGTTGGCTGTTCCATGACAACCCTGTGGTACCAAGGGCAAGGGCAGTAGCTGGGCAGAAACTGCAGGTACACATTTGGGTTGATCACCTTGGCTTCCACATCATTTGAGGTGGTGCTCAGTGTGGGATAATGGCATCATATAGGACCATGGCGCTTATGGGCTTTTTTTTTTTTTTTTTTTTTTGAGTCTGTGTAATGGAATGTATTTTTCAAATACTGATATTTGGATTTTCTGTAACAATTCCTTATAATAAAATGAGGTAAAATTGTGCATTTCAAGTGGAAACTTTAATAAGACATTTGTAGTTACTTCTAATGCAGAAGTACCAATAAGCATTAAAAACAAACAAAAACTCTTGACATGTGAATAAATTACTTTTAACAGCTACCCTCTAGGAACATTTGAATTCCAACATTTTTCCGGAAACATACTGGTGATAACAAATCAGAAAGTAGCTATTTCACGGAAAGCAAGCAACTGCCTGAATTTCGGTGCTCTGGGTCCAGACTTTTTAGTGCATGGCAATGGGTGTGGTTGAAGTTGCATAATCCCAGTTCCTGATCCTATGGAAATTCCTCAAAGGATCCTGAAAATAACCCCTCTGGTTCCATTATTTAGGAGCAACTCAAGAAGATCCATTCAAGGTTTGAAGGAAAGTCTGGCACCACCGGCTTCAGAGCAAACTATAGAAGGTTTAGGGGCTTACAAATTAAGATTTAGTGATTCATAAAACCCCTGTACAAATCTAGTAGCTCACCTGGCCCTCAAAACACTTTATTGCACTAACATTGTATTCCTTTTCTTTACCTTTCATTTTGCTTACTCCCCCAGTTCCAACCAGTTTTAATACAGCTTATTCTCCAATGTATTCTCTTGTGGTTAATAGGTACTATTAAGAACTTCCACTTAATCCCAAGTAATAATTTTTTTGTGCCAAGAATTGAACCCAGGAGTGCTTAACCACTAAACCACATCCCCAGCCCTTTTTGTTTTTTGAGACAGGGTCTTGCAAGTTGCTTATGACTGCTAAGTTGCTGAGGCTGGCTTTGAACTTGCAATCCTCCTGCCTCAGCCTCTTGAGCTGCTGAGATTACAGGTATGTGCCACCATGCCCAACAATCCCAAGTAATTCTAGTAGTTGTCCTTGAAGATAATCACCCTGTCACTGATGTGTAGCACAATTAGCAGCCTGGTGGATGTTGACTTTCATGTTTTTGCCCAACCAGGAAAGAGCACTGGGCTTTACTTCTGCTTTGTCATTGATTCGCTGATAGTATTAGGCAAGCTGCATAATTTTGTGCCTAAGTTTCCCTGTCTATATAATTGAGGTGACCAGAGTCTCCTAGCTCACAAGTCTGCCTGGAGGAAAATGATCAGTAGTCATTAATATGTCCTTCCTTTCTTCCAAGCACACAGGTTCTCGTGTTCTTACCCTAGGGCCTCTGGAGGAGGTTGATGGCTGCAATCTCTCTGCTGCCCACTTGACCAAATCTGGGGCCTCTAGCAGAACAGCAGAGTCTCAAGGGAGAGGGGTCCAGCTCAGGGTTGCCCTCAGAGGGACACAGCCCCAACCTTTCTGTGGGATTGAGGTTTTAGTTAGCAGCTTTTCCTAGAGCAAAGCAAGAGATGAGATGGGGGTTTTGACAGGCTTCATTATACAGTGACTGAGATGTCACTAAAAACCCAGACTCAGGGCTGGTGTTGTGTTCAATGGTAGCTTGCTTGCCTTGCATGCGTGGGGCACTGGGGTTCGATCCTCAGCACCATATAAATAAATAATAAAGGTATTGTTGTGTCCATCTATAACTAAAAAAAAATTTTTTTAAAAATCCAGACTCCTCTTAGTTTTGTGTTCATAGCAAACTGAATTCTCAGAATTGAAAGGCAGGTGATGAGATTACCTTCAACATGTTTGCAAGCAGTTGCCCAGCCTTTTTCTTTTGACACTGCTCACTGGTTTGGGGAAAAAAACCAGCTCAGTTCTGTCAACTTGATGGCTACTTTAATCATTGATAACAGCTATATAATGGCTGTTTGTGGTAGGAAGTAGGTATGGTAGCTAAGGAAATTCTACCTCTAGTAAAAGATGGAGAGAACTTTATGCCTCTTTTCTGGGCCATAAAATGGAAACCTCTCAAGGCTGACATGGAGATTAAATGAGAACAAAGCTCCTTGCACAGGGCACAGCCTGGCACAGTTGCCCAACACATTTTCTTCTACTTCCCTCAAGTCTGACTGAATGCTCAGCCTAAGCTGGACTTTCTGTGGCTTCCATCAGGAAGGGACTGCCCTTCTCTGCAGTTTTGCCCAGGGTTACCTTTACTGGAAAGAGAAGAGGCATTTCTCCATTAATCACAAGCTTATGACAGCCCTTCGAATCATGAATCATTTGCTCTAACATGAGGGAAGTTCTTTACCACTAAGTAAATGGTTGGTAGCAAAGGAGAAATGAGCTCTCATTGAGCAAGGAACTGAGCAGGTGCCCAAGGCTGGCCAATTTGTCCTGGAACGTGGGTTCAGAAGTTTTGCTTAAGTCAGAGACCAGGCACCTTCTAGGCTCTGCCAAAGTCCACTAAAGACACCTGTTTTGCTCCCTTTGCAGTTTGTTTTGAAGGGTCTACACATCTCTGGGCTTGTCCCTTACACTATCCCTGCACTCCTGCCCAAGAATGGCCTCTGGCTCCTCCACCATATAGTAAGTCCCAGAGGCTAGGATCTTCACTTTCCCCTATCCTCATGCAATTCAATGCCTCTCCTATAGTAAGGTTTTTTTGTTTTGTTTTCTGGTGCCAGGCACACTCAACCACTGAGCCACATCCCTAGCCCTATTTTATAATTTATTTAATGAGATAGGGTCTCACTGAGTTGCTGAGGCTGGCTTAAGAAATCCCTGCCTCAGCCTCCAGGCCACTGGGATTACAGGGCCTGCACCACATCACCCAGCCTTAGTAGGAACTTAGTAAGGTCTTAATGGTACTTGCTGAATGACCAAAGGAGTGATTAGTTTCCAGTTAACCTGGAATTGAAGGCAGTTTCCAGTCAACAGAGGAGCCTCAGGCACTGACCTCAGAGCTGCGGGAAACTCAGAACAAGGTCCTAATTTCAGCTCTCCTGCTTTCTGCTTCTGCCCCCAGGGAGAGCAGACATGCAGAAATGTGGTGGAATGGAAATAGCACTGAATCAGGAGTCAAAAACCGAATTCCAGGCTCAGCTGCATTGCTCTGGCATCTTAAATTTAGGGGGCCTTAGTTGCCTCATTGCCAAAATAGATCTAACCCTGTGCCCTTGCCACATGTTGAGGACTGTGAATATGTGTGTACAAAGCTGAAGAACCTGCGCTTCTGTCCTCAGTGTGATTCACTGAAAAGAGGCTGATAGGAAATGCATGGCTAAAGCACACTGATATATTCTTATGGGAGTGAACAGAGTGCTATGAGAACTTAGGGAAAATGCATTTAGATCCAGCCTTTGGGCCAGTGGTTAATGAAGGCATCCTAGAGAGGCTGGATTTTGAAGAAAAAAAGCAGAGAAGATATTGTTCTAGGCAGAGGAAACCACATGTGTGAAGGCATTGTAGGCATAATACTTTGAGAGGAAGGCTGGAGAGCAGATATACATGGGAGGATACAGGAGATACAGGGACTAGAAGGAGATAGGCTACAGAAAAGCCACCTTTGCAAAGGTTTTGGAGATCTGGTACTTAGTTCTCCTAGATGTAGGGAGCCACTGAGGCTTCACTGGGGTATGGTGAGCCCTGTCATCGCCAGGAAAGATGACTTGCAGCAGTGAGGAGGAAGGAGTGTGGACTCCTGCAGTAGTTCCAGAATAGTTCAGGAATAGATACAGGAATGGCAAGAGAACTGAGGAAGTAGGACTTGCAGGATTTGGAGAGTGGTGGGAAGGAGGGAGGAAGGAGCTATGACCAATTGCTAGGACTTTTTCTTGGGGTCAGGTGGAGATGGAGGTGCTGCTCTCCTGGAGAACAAGGGCTGTGGGTGGAATGATGAAAACAGTATCAAACACGGGGAAGACTCTGGAAAGCTGCTCATTCTGGAGGTAAAGCCTGGCAGTAAAAGTGGCTGCTGAAATAGGAGGGAGGAGAGCCAGTAGAAAGAGGTTCATGGGAAAGGCCAGGTGTTCAAGGAGACTGAGAAGGAAGAGTCAGAGAAAAGGAAACCAGGATAAAGCCAAAAGGGTTCCATGGAGGACCTCATGGTCAACAGGATCAAGAGCTCAAGTTAGATAAGAACTGACTGTGACTATGGTGTTTACCAGTACAGAATTGATCTTGCTACTGAGTAGAGAAGGCAGGTGACTGCTACATAGCAAATGAGGGTTGAAAAACAAAGATCCTGAGTATAAGCTATTCTTTCAAAATGCTTGGCTGTAATAGGAAGTAGTTATGATAATTACCCACTACCATGGGGTTGAGGGACAGTATTTTATTTGTGATGTCATAGAAGTGACCTCTTTAATGCATACTCAAGGGGAAGGGCAAGAGACAGGAAGAGGTACAGGTCTAGGTGGGGTAGGCCTGGGGTGGGGATGGAGAGAGAGCTGAGGGGAAGGCTCAGATAAGGCAAGCCCACAACCTGTAACAGCATCAGTCTTCATGTCCTTATCTGTGAACCAGAAACATTCCTTGCCCTCATCTACTTAATAAGAATTCAAGAAATAACTGAGAGGGCTGGGGATATAACTCAGTTGGTAAAGTGCTTGCCTCTCATGCATAAGGCCATGGATTCAATCCCCAGCACCACAAAAAGAAAAAAAAAAAAAAGGTAACAGAGTATGAAATTTGTCAAGTGTAGGTGATTACAGAGGACCTTAGACATACACACTGCTGGACAGGTTGTAAGCCCAGCCACTTTGAGTCAGGGCTCTTTGCAATGACATTTGCAGTCTTGCCTAGATGTTGATGTTAGGCTAATCACTTAACTTTATAGCAAAACTACCTTTCAATCACTATGCAGACTTCTCCCATTATAAACACACCACACCTGATTTTAAGTGTTTAAAAGAATATCCTTGCTTTAAATTGTTATTTTGTTCAGAGACACATGGATTTACTGTAGCCATGTATATGCAAAAACTTTCCAATTCCAGAATTGGCCTACCCCATTTTATTATCCATGCTTATTGCAGGAGCTCTAATCAAGCCAACGGGCTTTGGGTTGTAAATTCAAGTTTGCCTTGGGGTGGAAATCAGAAGAAAAGTCATGAAAGTCAGTGATCACAAGTGTTCTGCCTTCTGCTGGTGCTGTTAACGTGCACAGTTTTTTGGGTTGTATCTGCTGAGACACTGCCCCTTTCTGCCACTGCTTCAGATGCTGACAGAGCTGGGGTTATGGGCAGGGCCCAGGCTGGCAGCTGATTAGGCAGCTTGGGAGTCCACAGGAAAGAAAGCTCAGAGCTTTCCCCTTGTTTATCCCATTATTTCTGAATTGGTCATATCTGTGCCCATTAATTTCTGAGGGCTCTGAAGGAAGGTCACAAATAGGCCTAGGAGGAATAGTGTCAGAACAGGTAGACAAGTATGAGGCTGGCTGCCAATCTCTTGCCTGTCACCAGAATGGGGAGCCCATGGTGAGGCACATTTGCAGGATGTGGTCAGATTCCTTCAAGACCTTTCTGTGTCTTGCCAGGGGCCATCCTAGGACACAGGAGCATAAGTTCTCGGCAGGGTTCCCTGTGTTATCAAGATTCAGGGTGTCAGCTTAGAGTGGGAAGGAGCATGTGATGGCCAGAGGCGGGCAGCCTGTGTATTCCCCCAAGTTGGGGTCATCCAAGTCCCCACGATTTGTGTGTGTAGGGTTGTCAGGCAGCTGGTCACTAGGGGGGCCGGTTGTTCTCACACATACACAGCGGGGTTCCTTGGCTCCTGGCTTATATAGCTTTCTGGGGACACCAATCCAGTCTCTGCTCACACCTCCACTATGGACAGAAAAAAAGAGGTCTCTTTAGTGAGTTTTTCTGTGACAAAGAGCAAAGAAAGTAGCCAGTGAGAACTTATGAAAAGGAGAAGCTATTCCACTTCCTACCTTAGTGCTATCCCAAGCTGCATTCTGCAACATTCAGCCCAAGCCTTCTTGCTCTCCTGACTTCCTCCAGCTTCCCCTGCATGGCACCAACACTACTTTCTCCGGGTCAAAGACAGTGCCCATTGTCCCTTTCACTGCTCTTTGGCTGTTGCTTAGTGCCTTTGAAAAACGCACCACCTCTTCCCTGTAGGATGCTGATAGCTGGGAAAGGATCCCACCTTTGGGCATGTAAGCTTCTCTTCTCTAGTCCCCATTCTATCCCAGTGCAGGACATCTTAACTCTAGGGCCTGGGAACTTGGTGGGAATTGGGCAACTTGGTAGGTCTTGGCCAGCTAAGTCAGCCTTCTCTGGGAGCCACTCACATCAAGAGTTGTTGCCAGCTGTACTGGTCCTTGTATAGGCCTAGCTCTTGATGCCACCAGGCTTCAGAGATAAGAGGATTCAGCTCGGCCCAACATAGTCTGGCAACCTCCTGTCCTAGACAGAGTCCTAACTCATGTTAGGGTACCGAATTCTGTGTCTTGTGGACTCAGAGGTCTTGCGAAAGGAAAATGAGATTCTTAGAATTGATACCTCATATATGTTCCAGTGCCTGGGACCAGGATTACTTGCTATCAGAAAAACTGCTACCCAGTTAGAAACCATCCCACTTGTAGCTTACCTAAGAACAAGGTTGTTAGGGCCCCAAATACCTCCTTCCCATCTAGCCATCCATTCCACTGGTGATCCTTACTCCATATCTGAGTCCTATCTTCAGAGCTCATTTCTCTCAGAGACACACATTTCTCTCATAAACAACAAACTGGGCTGAGGCTCAGGGATAGGGCCCACACATTCACTTGAGCAGCTCAGTCCTGAAAGCAAGGCAGGGTTCAGAAGACAGACGAGAGGGAGAGGGAGGCAGGCTTTCCAGCAGAGCACAGGCAAGCATCTAAATGTACTCCATAGGCCCCTGGGATGACCTATGGCAGCCAAGTGTTCTCAGGCCACCTGCATTGGAACTTGTGCTCCAGGAAAGCCCACTCAGATCCCAGCTCCTCCCCCTAAAGTGCAAAGGCCAGGTTCTCACATGACACTAGAGAAGCTGAATCTTCAAAAATGGTGTTCAGGAGAGAAAGGCCTTTCCTTCCTGCACCTTCCTTTACCCCACTCCTCTAATGGGTGATGATATAGTAGCAGGGTCTAGGGAATACTGGTAGCTTGACTGCTTGCTTTTGTCCACACAGTGAGCCACCTGCCCTGCAGAAGAGGGTGTTTAGCACTTAGGGATGTGAACTCCCCCCAACAGTCCCTGTCCCTTTTCAGTAAGAACTGGACTCATTTTGAGGTCTTTGAGGCTAGAAAGTTTGTCCAATTTCTGGTTTCTTTTGTCCCTTTAGTAAAGCTAAAGGCAATTTGAGAGTCTTGAGTTGAACCTCAAGTCTGGCTGGCCTCATGATTAAAGTAGTAAAAACACCAGTTTCTCCAGCTTCCCAAATCAAACCGGAACAATCTCTGTGGCATCATTTCTAATCAGGCTCACCTCACTTTGTTCTTGCAGGGAAAGACTTTTCCATCTAGCCTGTACCTCCTGGAATTACTCAGAATGTGTAGTGCCTTTAAAGGGCATCATGGCATGGGCCATCTTCCCATCCTTTTCTCCAGCAGGCAGGAATAATGTGCACTGGCAGACAAGAAACCCAAATCATAGTTGGCTGAATGTGTCAAAGCAAGTGAGAAACAATACTCATGCCTGTTCCTCACTGCCAGACCCCCAGGGTCTTGGGGCAGGGGACAGTGGGAGATACTCAAATCTCAGATCCAAGTCTGAATCCTAGTGTTACTCAATCATTTGGAAGAAGATCCCACCATCAGTCATTTTTTTAAATTCCCCAGAAGATCTAACATGCAACCAAAGTTGAGTCACTATTATAGAGCACATGTATTTTGAAAAAGTTCCCTGGGTTAACAATTCATGGATTCCCTGAACAATGCAGGCAGGACAGCCTAGAAGTTCGATTTGGATAAGAGATGGAAGGGAGCAGAAGCTGGCTTACCTCTTTTGGGAACACCAGAAGCGGCTACCCTTGGTGGCACTCCACTCAGCATTGCAGGGTGGGAACTTCTGCTTCTCTTTCTGTTCCCGTTTATTTGCCTCCAGGCCTTTGACCATCATGGCTTCCACCTGAATCAGTTCTGGGGTTGGCTGCCCATCTTCTCCATAGAACCTTCCTATCACCCTTCCTGTGGTGACAGGAGAGCTGAAGTCAGAGTAAAAGTTGGGGAGAAGCATGAAAAGATGCTGAGCCATTTGAATCAAGCTCAAGTTCCCAGGGGTTTGGAATTCAGTGCACTACAATAGCCTGTTGGGTACTTGCTTATTGAGAACTTGTACTAGAGACACTTTGTGCGAGTGCACGCACGTATGTGCATATGTGTGAATGTAGTGCTGGGGATCAAACTCCAGGTTTTGTACATGCTAGGCAAGCTCTCTACCACTGAGCTACACCACAGCCCTGGAAGGACTTTTGGTGCTTTCTCAGTCTCTGTCAGCATCCTACAAGACTCCATCCATATAAGCATCCCTTTTCTGTCTGAACTATCTTCCAGTGCAGAAATTCCTGAATCTTTCTTGCCTCCAGACATTGGTTCCCTGAAGGTAGAACACTGTGTGATTCATTTACTAATGCTTTACAAAGCTTAGGGCACACAATAGGTATTCAACAAATGTTTGAATGAATAGCTTATTGGTTTACATTTGTGTAACTCAATTCTGCTCAAATCAAACTATTTACAAGTTATTTACTGAGCAATTACTTTGTATCAGACACTATGCTATATACTTTTGTACTTACTTTGTATCAGCACTTCACCAACAGTTTAAAATCCCCATAGCAACCTATCTGAGAGAAATAATTGTTTTCATATCTATAAGACAGAAATTAGGAGATCCAGCAACTAGGGAAGGCTATGAAGCTAGTAAGAAGTCTGGCCTGATGCCCACTTTCTCCCCTTCAATTGCTCAGGCTTTCAGTGGACATGACTGGAAACTGGTTTTAATTTAAAATGCCTGTCAAAATTAAAGTCCAAACTATGGCAGCAGCTAGCAAGTGGTCTGCAGCCTACAGGCCAGAACCAAAACAGATCAGTTCTCCTTGGGTGCAGGGTCCTAATGTGTCCAAGTCTTGAGGTAAAAATGGCCATCACAGCCAGCTTCTGTCACAGGGCAAGGGAAACAACAGAAAGCACTTCTGTAAGGTTTGATTACATAGGTGGTATTATGTGTTGCCTGTCCCCAGCTGTGTGTGTCCTACCTCTGCAGTCACCAAGAACTGACTCAGATTCCACTGGCACGTATATTCTACATGTTCAGGATTCCGTGCATGTCAAGTCCAATCCCTCCCTGACTTCCTCAAATCTTTTTATGTCACTTCTGGCCTCTGTTATTTGGATGAGGAGCCTGGGATCTCTCTGACTCCCCCTCTTTCACATCCAAATATATACTTCCCTTAATTCATGTCAAATCCATTAGTGAATCTTGTCAATCCTACTTCTAAAACATATCTCAATTCTGTCCATTCCTTTCCATTTCTACCACTACTATCTTAAACCAAACCACAGACTGTGACAATAGCCTCCCAAGAAGTCTCTGTGTCATCTCAGGCCCCCCTACAGTTCTTTATCCACAAAGTATTTGGACAAAACATGAATTGAGCCTGACATGGCGAAGCACACTTGCAATCCCAGCTACTTGGGAGGCCAAGGCAGAAGGATCATAAGGTCAGGGATGGTAACTTAATGAGACTGTGTCTCAAAATGAAAAATAAAATAGACTGAGGATGTAGTTCAATGATAGAATACCCTGGGTTCAACACCCAAGATGAATGGATTGATAGACAAGACATATAGATAAATAAACATGCATCTTACCATGTCATTTCTATGCCTATTTAAAACCCTAGAATGGCTTCCTAAAATACAAATTTCTTAGCCTTCCCAGCTCTCAGTGCCCTTGAAGGAATCTATTGTTAGCAGTGTCTTAGGACACTGTTAGTTATCTTTTCATTTAAGATGAGTTCCCTCATGTATCACCAGTAATTACACAATTGCCTTTAACAAATATTCACTCCTTCTTTCATCCAATCATTCGTACTGGTGGAAAAAACCAGGGGTTCTTTACTGCTGAGCTACATCCCCAGCCCTTTTTATTTTTTTGAGACAGGGTCTCACTAAGTTGCTGAAGCTGGCCTTGAACCTGTGATCCTCCTGTCTTAGCCTCGTGAGTTGCTGAGATTACAGGTGTGTGCCTCACATCCAGCTAAAAAATGTCTGATTAGCATAACTTCCACCCTGGAGACAGTTCACTCAAGATTTTGGGTCTCCTTAGAGAGCAAAATAAAAGGGTACTGTCAAACTGCACACCAATTTTTAGACTTCAAGCTTCCTGGCTGTGTGCTGAAGCTAGATGCCTGAAAAGAGTAAGACAGTGAAGCTGCCCTCCTGGAGCTGGCTTAGTTCAAGAATGGGACAGGCACCCATCGGCTTTGGGCACCTGAGGCTAAGGCAAAATGGTTTGGCAATCCTCTTCCATGACTGTGATAAAAACAGATGCCCATCCATCTCCATCAGGGGCTCACTGCCACACTAATAACCAGAGTTTAAAGTGAAAAATCCAGAGCTGGTTTTCAGATTTGGGGTGGGAGGATGCTGGGGATGAAACCCATGGTCTCATGCATGCTAAGCAAGAACTCCACACTGAACTACATTAAAATATTTTTAAAAATATATAAAATTTTTCATATTTTAACCTTTAGCCCAATTCATAAATAAATCTGGCCTTTTGAAAAACATTGCAGAACAACCAAGTGAAATCTATGGAAATGACCTGTGGACTACCCACCAACAAAAACATAATTCTTCTCATAGAATAAAATCCAATTTTGAAGTATCAGCATCTCAGAGAAGGACAGATCAATTACATCATCCACAAGGCCTGCTTCAGTGTAGTCTCCAGTCACAAATGCTCTGGATGCATCTCGGCCTGCAGGAGAGAAGTTTCCAACAGATTCAGTTGTAAATTACCAACACTGTATGAACTTAAAAATTTCTTTTCAAAAGATTGTCCTGATAACCCCTTTCTCCAGGAAATGTAATCTCCCTCCTCTGTGATAGACACCCCTGAATCTGGAAAATACATTTCTTTGACATTTGGCACATTCTTTCATTTACTTTCAGTAACATTTAATACAGCTGACCACTTCCTTTGGCTTCCATGATGCTACCTTCCTGGTTTTCTTCCTCTTTTTTTAGCTCCTGTCACAAGCCTCAGGGAATGATTATTGTCTACACCCTCTCACTTGACAACCTTATTCATGCTTCTGTTTTCAAATTCTACCTGTATGTCAAAGATCACCAAAGTTGTATCTTTAGTTTAGACCTCTCTTGGGTACCAGACCTATATATCCAACTACCTACTCACCATCACTCAGTCATCTTACAGACATCACAAGTTCAAAATGTTCACAGTGAACTAATAGTCATCAGCAACTCCTACCCCAGGAAACCTGCACCTACTCTAGTTTTTCCTATCTCAGTAAATGTCAACCATTCCAGGAATGTGATCCTTGACACCTCCTTCACCCCTCACAAGTACTCAGTGCCCAAGTCCTATTTTTCCTTCCAAAAAAATTCTTGTATCTACTTGTCTCCACATGCCACCAAACAAGCCCAGGCTGCCATCAGCTCACATCTAAACTGTCACAGCAGACACCTAGCAGATTTTTCCACATTCATTCTTGCCCCACAAATATATTCTCCATATAACACTTAGACTTTCCTTTTTTGCAGTGCTGTGGATCAAACCCAGGGCCCTGCACATGCTAGGCAAGCATTCTACCACTAAGCTACATCCCCAACCCAAGAATGATATTTTAAACATGAATTCATTATGTCATTCCTCTGCCCCGCCCCCCCCATATCCTGAATAACTTTCCTTTGTCCTGTGGCAATGTCCAAAGTTCTTAACATGTCATGCAACAATGGCTTCCCTGCACTAATGACTGCCCATCTGGCCTCACCACTTTCTACATTATTCACTATATGCATACATGTGCGCATGCTTTTTCTTTGTCTTTCTCTCCGTCTCCTCAGCTAGGTTAGGGTCCCTGATAAAACTAGTCTTTTTTAATGATTATCACAAAATAATTCATTAATTGCATAATTCACTTAATGTCTTGTCTTTTCTATTACTAGCCTGTACATTTTATCAAGGAAAAGAACACCCAACCTCATTTAATATTGATTCTTCAGTGTCTGGTATAGTGCCTAATCTTGAGTCAAGTTCCCAATAGCTATGGACTGAATGAAATCTATAGATTTTCTTTTTTGCTATTGGGGATTGAACTCAGGAGCACTTGTCCACTGAGCCATATCCCAAACCCATTTTTGCATTTTATTTAGAGACAGGGTCTCACTGAGTTTCTTAGCACCTCACTGTTGAACTTGGAAATCTATACATTTAAAGCCAACTGATTGTTAACAAAAGTGCCCAGACAATTCAAAGGAAAAGAATAGTCTTTTCAACAAATGGGTGCTGGAACATGTGAAGAGCCACAAGCAAAAGAATGAAATTGGACCCCTACTTCATACCATATACAAAATTAACTTAAAATATGCCGCAGTCTGGCTGGGCACGAAATAACCGGGAGGTCACAAGCCACTTGTAGGTTCAAACAGGAACTACTTTATTGCCCAAACCCCACGGGAACACAACCGGAACTCCACCGAAACTCCAAGAGAACCAACGGGAACTCCGAGAACTCAAAAGTAGCAGGCACCTGAGCCGCCTTATTGCCGGAAAGCAGAGGTTCATATACACAACTGAACACACAGCTTGCTTCAATTTAGCAACATCCAGTTACAGCAATCAGTCATTATCCCAATAACCATACACAGCTTAACTTAACCATCATCATCCTAATGGCTTGCTGGCATTGCCTCTCAACCACTCCTTCTGGCAAAATGCCAGGCGCCACCTTGACTTGGTTGTGGCTCCCAACTTCAATAGATCAAAGACTTGAATTTTTCAGTTAAAACTATAAAGCTCTTGGAATAAAACAGATGTAAATCTTTGTGATCTTAACTGGGCAATGATTTCTTAGGATGTCAAAAGCACAATCAAAGGAAATAGATAAATTGAATTTGATCAAAATTTAAAACTTTTGTACATCAAAAGTCATGATTAAGAAAATGAAGGGGCTGGAGTGTAGCTCCAAGGGAAAGCACTTGCCTAGCATGAAGAAGGCCCTTGATTTGATCTTCAGGATTGCCAAAAAATAAATATTTTTTTAAATGAAAAGATAACCTACAGAATGGGAGAATACACTTACAAATCATATATCTGATAAAAGTCTAGCCGCCATAATATAAAGAACTCTTACAACTCAAAAATCAATACGATACAGTTGAAAAACAAAGGATTTGAATAGACCTTTCTCCAAAGATACACAACTGCTCATTAAGTTCATAGCTTAACACTGTTAACTATTAGGGAAATGCAAATAATCAAGATCTCAGTGAGATACTGCTTCAAACTCACTAAAATGACTATAGTAAAAGAGACTTAAAGAATTTTGGTGAGAATGTGGAGAAACTGAAACAAATTTTTTTCCTGGTGGGATTATACAATGGTGCAGCCATTGCATATTTGGCAGTTTACAAAAAAGTTAAACACAGATTTATCATAATAGCTATTCTGCTTCTTGGTATATACCCAAGAAAACTAAAAACATACATTCACACAAAATCTTATACTCAAATGTGCCTACGCATGCTGCACATAACTGTCCTAGACAAAAAAGGAAAAAGAATCCAAAAAGTTCGTCATAGATAAAAGATGGCATATCAACACAGTGGAATATTATTTAGCTAGAAAAAGGGATGATGTATGGATACACAATGACACATTACGGATGAAACTTGAAAACATTACCCTAAGTAAAAGAAGCCAAGCAAAAAAAGACAACATATATGATTCTATTTACATGAAATGCATAGAATAGGTCAATGTATAGAAGCAAAGTAGGTAGGAGTTGCCAGGAGTGGGGGCAGGAGGGAACAGAGTATGACTGCTAATGGATATGGATTTTCTTTTTGGGTGGTAAAAATGTTCTGGAATTAGTGATGTTTGTACGAGTTTCTAACTTAAAAAAACCCCACTGAATTGTATACTTAAAGGGACATGTTTTCTGTGGATCATATCAATAAAAATATAGCAAATAAAAAAAATGAATAAATGAATGTCTCATTCCCTACCAGACTATGTGGGCATCTAATTTCTTAATCCTCAGGATCTACTGTAAGGTAGAACACATGGTAGCAGTCAATAGTTGGATATTTAATGAATATCAGGCAAACAGGAACTCAGAGCTCAGTGCAAAAGAAAAAGAATCACCTCAGAAATCAAAGGTTTTTTTGCCCATACTTGTGCAGACATCCATGACAAGTGAATTAGCATGTAGCAGGACAGTGTACCAAAAAGTGCTCTCAACTGGCAAGTACAAAATAAAAAACAGCTCTGCTAGGTAGCCCCTGGATAAGATGCGCCCCTTGCTGGAATGTGTGCTGAGCTTGGAGAGAAGGAAGTGATTTGTATATAAGGGCCAGAAGCAGCTTCCCAGTTCCTCTAAGATAATGACAAGTGGAAGATGCTAATTTAATATCAGCGTAGTTACTTGTCTTAGGCTTTCCCTACGTTTTCCTTTGTATTTTATTTTTCCTTTTAAATTTTGGCAGGTGAACTGTCCCTGGGTCTAGTTAAGAAACAACCTCCAAAACACTAGGCTGCAGGGCTGGGATTGTGGTTCAATGGCCTCACATTCAAGGCCCTGGGTTTGATCCTCAGCACCACATAAATAAAATAAAGTATAGGGCTGGGGTTGTGGCTCAGTGGTAGAGCACTTGCGTAGCATGTGTGATGCACTAAGTTTGATGCACCATATAAAAAAATAAAGGGCCACCAACAACTATAATAAATTATTTTTTAAAAATAAAGTGTAAAAAATTATTAAAAAACAAACAAACAAACAAACAAAACACTAGGCTGGTTGACCTGACTCACGTTCTGTCAGTGTTTATTTGTGAGGGCTGTTTGGCAAATCTTCTTCAATCTCCTCAGATGTAAAATTGTGACAGCAGGAAAAACTTGACAAGATTCTTAGGAGCCTAACATGCACAGCTTTATTACAAGGTTCTGTCATTGTCCTCGTTATTATTGTTTGAGACAGGCTGGCTGCCTGGTTGCCCAGGCTGGCTTCAAACTTGCAATCCTCCTCTCCCGAGTAATTTGGAATTAAGGTGTGAACCTGCAATCCCAAATTACTCAAGAGGTGAAGTTTACTCTAAGTATTAAAGAACTGTTAAAGTGACCAGACCTCTTTCCTATGACCTAACCTCATAATCTTTTTTTTTATAAATAGGTATCTTTTTAAAATATTTATTTCTTAGTTTTAGGTGGACACAATATCTTTATTTTACGTGGTGCTGAGGATTAAACCCAGTGCCTCATGCATACTAGGAGAGCACGCTACCACTGAACCACAATCCAGCCCCTAACCTCAAAATCTTTTTAAAGATAGGCAGACAAGTGCATCTGCAGTGGAAGTAAGAATGACACAAACCAAAGGTGCTACTTCTAGGGAAAACGTGGGGTAACAAGAAAACTTACTTAGAGTCGGGACATAGAGAGGAGGCTGAAATTAATAGATTTGTGAGGGCAGGGAAGAGGATCTCATTCATCTCTGTGACCTGAGCGCCCTGCACTAAACCTGGCACAAAGCAGGTATTCCCCCGTTTCCCAAAGTGGGTAACCAAAGAGATATAAAACATGTTTCTCAAACCTAAGTCACGAACAGCGATGAACAGGGAGGATACAGGTGGATAATAGTTGGCTATAGTTTCGCCAGAGACCAAAAAGATGGAGCAGCTGGTTCGCCACCGCGGTCTGACGAACGTGGGAGTGGGGAGAAACAGTTGAAAAAAATGAATGAACGAACGACACCGGTCCCCCCGCAGGAAGAAAAGGAATGAGCAGCCTCGCTAATACCTGCAAAGCCGCTATAGGGTGCCCCAGGCTCGTAGTGCCTTCGGCCAGAGGACACGTCGTAGACGCGGCCGAGCAATGCCAAGTAAAGGCCCGGATCCCCTGGCCTGCCGCGGTACCGGGCCAGCTCCTCGGGTATGAAAAGGCGAAAGACGGCGCGGGGACCCCACCAGCCCATCAGCCGTGCTGCCAACACTGCCGCCGCCACCACAGCCAAGCTCAGCAAGAGTCCACGCCCGCAGGTGCTCTGCATCTAGACAGCCGCACCCCACCGCACTTACGAAGTTGCCGCCTCTCTTAACCACAATTAAGATGGCAGAGACGCGTCCGTGACGTCACCGGCGCGACACACACACACACACACACACACACACACACACACACACACACACTTTAAAATTCCTGTGCGAAAAGCTTATTACTTGGTCCGGACTCTTTCTCATACTTTTTTAAAATATAGCTTGGGAACGTAAAGGGATGGCGAGAATGTAGAACGGCAGCGGAAGACCTTCTCTGATTATAAGCTATCCGCCCCCAACAAAGATGGCGGTTGAGGAGGCTGCGGGATGACGTAATGTCTTGACAGACGCGTCTTCTAGGGAATCAGGGTTCTACCCTTTGCTAAGGCTGTCCTTGTCTAACTGTCGTGAGTTGGTAGAGTCGCTTAACGGCGATGTTGCAACAGTCCTCACTTGACGGCCAGGAAGTCGGAAGCAGCTGCCGCCGCCGGCGTCCCCTGCCTGTCCCCACCCGCCGGGTGCTGTCGGAGGTTGACAGGTCGTGGCAGGGAGGCGGCGGCGGCGGCAGAGCCGGGCACCCGAGACGGAGACCCCATGGGGAACGCTCCGAGTAACAGCAGTGAAGACGAAGCGGCAGCCGCCGGGGGCGAGAGTTGGGGCCCACACCAGGACTGGGCCGCGGACTCGAGCACGACCCCTGGCTTGGGCCCTGCGGCCCCCGCGCTGCCTCCCGCTGCCGCGCTGCTGGAACCTGCCCGGCTACGAGAGGCAGCGGCTGCTTTGCGGCCCGCACCGCCCTACGAGTCGCTAGTGTCGAGGCACCACGGCGCGCTGCTACGCTGGTTGGAAGAGCGGCTGGGCCGCGGCGAAGAGTCCGTCACCCTTGAGCAGTTCCGGGAGCTTCTGGAGGCTCGTGGCGCTGGTTGTTCCGGCGAGCAGTTCGAGGAGGTCAGGGCCGGCTGGGTACTAAGGAGGCGGGGGCAGGGCGGTCGCCTCTAAGGGTTGTAAAGAGGTGGGCAGTGGCTCTGGAGAGATCTGGCAGGAATCCACAGAGTCTGCAGCTTCTCAGAATCAAAGCATGGGGTTGCCGGAAATTATTTGAGGTGTTTGTAACCTGTTCATTCTGGGCGCGTGCTACCTCTCTCTCTAATCTTTCTTAAAGGCGTAGAAAAAAGGGTCTAGGCTGGCCTTGCTCTACAGCGCTGAATTAGCCAAAAATGTCTTTGCATGTTGTAGTGCAGGTATTCGTTCAGTTGACAGACGCTGAATTAGTTGCGCGGTGGAGTTTCCTTATTAGGTTCTAGATCAGTTTAAGAGAAAGGATGTTCAAGGATCAAGGGAGTGGCAGTGAATACCATTATGTTTTAGTGGCCTGCGCAGATATTTTTTTTTTTAAAACACCTTCTCAATCTAGTATGGCAGCCAATAAATGTGGAAGGAGAATAACATAAACTGGGAAGATTCACACTCTATAGGCTATTTTCATCTCGAAAACACTGGCTTTTCCAAAATACATACTTGATTTTAGAGCCTTGAAGAATAAATAGGTTGTAGACTCATTTAAGCCATTGTAAGCCCCTCCAAAATTAGGATCCCCGTGGGTACTTGTAAATATACAGTTTCTCCTCATATCTGCACTAAACACTTCATTTTAGAGTTAGAAAAAGACAGATTCAGGGTTACCCAGTGAGTCATTTTATTGGCAAAATTGGGACTATCATTCAGATGTCTTGATTATTAAAAATGTCCCATTACTTTCTTCCTAGATCCTATTTCAGTCCACAGTGTTATCTCTCTCTCTCTCTCTCTCTCTCTCTCACTCACTCACTCACTCACACACACACACATAGAAAGAGAGAGAGAGAGTTGTTTAATCTGAAAATGAATAAGCCGTGTAGAATCATCAATGAAGGATGAGTACATAAAACAGTAAACTAACAGGTACTTATAATGTCATTGAAAGGTTCTGTTTACTTTAAGACCAGAGACTTTTGAAATGTTTTAAGAATGTTTTTCTGTACATGACAAGAATATTAAGGCAATGTAGTTTATATGTTTGTTTCTTTTCTTTGGTGCTCGGGGTCCAACCCAGAGTCTTGCACATTCTAGGCAAGTGTTCTACCACAGAGCTATTTACCACCAGCCCTTGTATGTTTCTTTCTTTTTTTTTTTTTTTCTTTTTGGTGGTGTTGGGGATTGAACCCAATGCCTTGTGCGTGCAAGGCAAGCACTCTATCAACTGAGCTATATCCCCAGCCCCCTGTGTATTATGTTTTCCTAGAAGAAAATTCCCTAAGACATTCTGATTCTTAAAAATATTGGTCTTTTTAGTGAAAGATCTCTATTAAAAAAATTCCAAGAAAACACATAATATTTTCACTGTAGTACCTATACATATTATAAGAACATGAAGCAGTGGTAGAAAGAACTGCAGATCTGCTCAAGGAGTTGGCACTTTTAAGATTTGTCTAAACCAAATGGAGAGAAATGGTCTTTACATTGTGAGGCAATCTGACAGGAATGGACTGATAGATGGGGGTTTATAGAAGTCCCAACATAAAAGGCCAAGAAATCCATGGGGTGTGGTCCAGAAAATCACTCCAGGGCCGTGGCATTAGTCATATGTTCAATTGAGCAAATATTGGTTGGGCCAAGCATTTGGATGACAGTGGACAAAGCAGATACTTATCTTAGAGTATGTAGCATGGTGGAAGAGGCAAATATTAATCCAAGTAAATGTGTGGTGAATATTTTCTAAGGGAAAAGGTAAGGAATAAATTTGAAATGTATTTAAGCTCATCCAGATGTCAAACAAGACTTAAGTAAAAAAGTAATATTTTAGCCTAGATTTGAAAGGTGAAGCAGTTAAGGAGCTGGACAAGGTAGCAGTGTTTTTAGGTAGAGGTAATTGCATCCAGAGAATCAAGAGAATGGAGAACCTGGAGTCTGTTATGGTATAAAAATTTAGACAAAACTGCTTCAGGGAACAGGAAACCTAAATAATTTTTTGTTTTTAAACAAAAAGAAGTTTTCTTCTTGTGCTGGGGATATAGCTCAGTTGGTAGAGTGCTTGCCTCACATGCAGAAAGCCCTGTGTTCAATCCCCAGCACCACAGTGGGCTGGGGGGGGGGCTTCTTTCTTATATGAAGGTCCGGGGATGATATGGTGGGTTCAGATATCAAGGACTTGTCTTCATCCATTTTGTGCTGTCTGCCTTCCACAGGTACCTTCAACTTAATGATCCAGTTGACTTCTCCTGCTCTCACTTTCCACATTCCAGCAAGCAGGATAGGAAAAGGAAAGGAGATGGCCACATCCCCCTTTTTTGTCTGTATTGTCACCTAGCCACACTTATCTGTAAGAGAGGCTGGGAGCCTGGCCTGGTGATACATGCCCGTAATCTCAGTGACTCAGGAGTCTGAGGCAGGAGAATCACAAGTTCAAAGCCAGCCTCAGCAACTTAGTGAGGACCTACATAACTTAGCAAGACCATGTCTCAAAAATTAAAGAGGGCTGGGAATGTGGCTCAGTGGTTAAGTGCCCCTAGGTTTAATTCTTGGTTCCCCCCCCCCACACTGCACACCCACCTCCACACAAAAAAAAAAAAAAAAAAAGAGAGAGAGAGTGAGGTTGGGAAAGATCATTATTCCATGCCCTTATTTTAAGCTAAAAAAAAAAAAAAAAAAAGCAAGATTTAATTGCTGAGGAAAAGGAAAGCAAATATTGGGGTACAGTTAATTTCTTTAACACAAGGCCAGATCATAGAATGTAGAAGGAAGAAAATGATGTGAACAGTAGGCAGGAGCCAGACATTCCAGTCCTTTGCAGCCTGGTAAGGAATTTGGAAATTGGAGTTTTAGGCAAAGAATCACCATAATGATTCCGGTTGCCTGATGGAGAACTAGACAGAGAAAGACCATAGTAGACCCAAGGAGAAAAGTTAAGAGATTATTGTCATAGTCTAAGTGAGAGATTTGGTGACTTGGGCTAGGGTGGTGGCAGTGAAATGACATGGATAACCTTTTTAAGTAGAATATACAGTTCTTAGAAACATTGTATATGGGTAGAGAACTAGAAGGAGAAATAAATTAAAGATGATTCCTACATTTCTGTTCAGACTAATTAGATGGTTTTGCTATTTGATTGAGAAAGGAAACATTTCAGGGAAGATAAGATCTGGAGCAGGAAGAGTTATGTTTTAGATATGTGAGTTTCAGATGCTGAGTGGAGATGTCAGACTGTTGAGTTTGTGTGTACTGTGCATGGTGTATAGAGTCATCTATTTGCAGATTGTATTGGGCCTTATGAGAAAATATCCACATTGTGTCTATAGATTATGCTCAATGATAATCCCTCAGATGTGGTCCATAGTCCATAGTTAAAATCAGAAGCCTTTCAGTTGCAGTTAAAAATTACATGGGAAGAAAACATGAACAGTTCTACTTTATTAAGGATCCCAGGATCATTATATCATCTATGTGGCAAAAATTGACATTAAGGAGTCGTTAGCATAACATTTGAACTGGTGATTTATAAAATGTTGGAAATTTTTATTTCATTTTTGTAAAAATCCCTGGGACAATCTGGAGTTATGTCATAGGAAAATTAAGTATCCAAACACAGCCACATTCCCAGCCCTTTTTTTTTTTTTTTTAATATTTTAGTTTTTAGTTTTCGGCAGACACAACATCTTTGTTTGTATGTGGTGCTGAGGATTGAACCCGGGCCGCACGCATGCCAGGCAAGCAAGCGTGCCACCGCTTGAGCCACATCCCCAGCCCCCCCTTTTTAAAAAATATTTAATTATTTATTCATTTAGTGGACACAACATCTTTGTTTGTATGTGGTGCTGAGGATCGAACCCGGGCCGCACACATACCAGGCAAGCCCACTACCGCTTGAGCCACATCCCCAGCCCCCTGCCAGCCCTTTTTAATTGCTAAGTTGTGTAGGTCCTTACTAAGTTGCTGAGGCTGGCTTTGAACTTGTGATTTTCCTGCCTCAGACTCCTGA